TATAAGAATAAATTAATTGAAAATCCCCAAAAAATAAATATACTTTATATGAAAAATGCCAATGTCTTAGTTCATTGTGCTTACGCTACAAGTCACCAATAATCAGGAGAGTATCAGATACAAATTGCTTCGGCCTACTTATTTATGGGCACCTAAAATGGAACCATCATGAAGACTTTATCGTAGTAAAACTTATAACAGTTTTAATCATATCTACGTACTAAATGTATACTATGGGACCGCTTACCCACATATCCGCTACATGATCTTTTTCTGGGGAGTAACTTTTGATATTCAAGGAGTGTTTATTGCACAGAAGAGGCTAATTCGTCTAATTTTCAACTTAAGCCCTTGAGTGTCTTGCAGGGGAGCATTTCAAGCACTTCCAATGAGTGCTACCTATTTTCGGTTCATATTTAAGATGGAAAAGAAATAGGACGCGAAAATTCGTACAGAAAATAGCATCGTCCTTTGATTATCTCAATTCGCGCAAATTCAACCTCATAGTGCTCCGCATCTTTCCATCTTAGCGTACATAATTACTCGTCCGGGCTTCAGCGCTACTATACCACCACCATCATACTCGGCTGTCGCTCTTGTATAAAGCTAACACTAGAAATTAGTTTCTGGATGGAAGTTATGTATATTAAAAAGTTACACTATGCTTTATGCGCCGCACTGTCTACGTAATACTTTTAATTGGCTTCCTGAAATTCCGCTGAAGCGGTTTTTTTAGGATACTTACTCGTCAGTGTCAGCACTGTGCTGGCTGCAATAAGCAATTAAGGTAGTTGATTCAACTAAATAGATTAGAGGTAAATGGAAAATATAGAATATAGCGGTGCCTGTATGCCTTTGTTTATATGTTACTAGCTTTAGACAATGGCCGCTGGGACGCCAGAATCTTACTCTATACGGGGGAAAATCCACCTGGCAATATTGTTTCATTAGAAATAGATGTACAATTTTTGTTTCCAAATCCAAGTGGCCTCATTAAGTTCCAAGTATCCCTTTCTGGACTTTCGGAATTTAAAACAAAGAATTGCTTCTAGTGAACGGTGACGAACTACAACCTGTTTCTGGATAAATAGACAAATAATATGTAAAAGTTGGTCTTATATATACTAAGTTCACAAGCAATGAAAATGCAAAATATATATTTTTAAGGTAATGAAAGTTTTTATTTTGATTCGGAAACATGAACTATCAATTTAAAGTTTTACAGATTTGTCAGAATAGCGTTATCATATAAATCATTCAATAAAACTCTATTTCTTCTTTTAAATTCCAAATATTAGCTAAATATCCCTTTAAATATGGTAAAAATAGTTCACTAACGCTAGGCAAACTTATTTAAATACTCATAGTTCATTAATTAGAAGTAATTGGTGTACTCAACCGAAATAAACGGCCTAAGTGTAATTGAACGATTGCGTTATAGTTTAATTAAATTGTTTTCATAGATTGGAGTAAACTGTTTTAGAAATCGAAGTTTAATTAAAATAGCTAATCCTGTTAGGTGTCACAAACTCGTCCCTTTGGTCCCCCCAACCTTTTGGCGCATGCGCTACGAGACTCCATGGGTGTATATAGTCAACGCCAAACAAAGTGGCGTGCACGTCATCACGATAAAAATTCCCCGACCTAATGCCTAGGTTTCTATCACAAACAATTGCTCTATTGCAGTTTCATATTAATGTGATATATAAATTGTAAAATGGTCATTACTCTCTTATTATGGTTAATAGTCATATAAACATTGTTATTAAAATATCACATAAGTTGCTTTCTGATAAATTTAGACGCATTATGCGAAATAAAATGTTTTGCAAACGCTCCAATCACTTATCGACATGTAAACGCACTAAACCGATTTCGCAGCGTTGACACATTGTCACCTTGAAACTTATTTAAACTGGGAACTGACATTTGTATTAATTTTGACACTGAATCAATTTGTGGCATTTCAAATCTTTATAAATCCTTTGGCCCCGCATACTGTAAATCAACAACTGTTTGTTTCAAAACAAAATTATTCATTTTACGAGTAGATAAAGGCAATTTTGGTATATAAAGATGCCCAAACAGTTCAATAGTCGGTGTAAGGAACTCGTGGCCTCGTTAATGCACTACTTTGAGCAAGAAAGGGACAACAACGGGCCTTTGTTGCCTTTAAATGCTGTTCAAGAGGTAGGTTACTAATAATTATATGTAATGTGTAAAAACACTAGACTCAAGGAATCGGTTTTATATTTTAAAAAAGAAATTGCGTATAATATAAAGCCGAGAAACCAAAAGTAAACAACCACTGGACCGCTTCTATCCAGATTTTCGACTGCTCTCCGATCAGCGAACTTGGACTCGTCCGCCTTGGATATTGCGACGGTCAACTGTTTTTTGGATGGCCCAAGACTTCTATAGTATAGGTAGTAGGTAGTAGGTACCCTTTTATTATTACAGTGTAGTAAGTAGTAGGTACCCTTTGATTATTACAGTCGGCCAACCTGCAGATTTTCACGCCCTCGTGAAAGGCTTATCTAGAACAAATAAAAACAAAAATCTTCAATCTACAGCTCTAAGATTAAGTTATAATTCATTCACTGCAAGAGTCATCCTCCTCAGAAGAAACTCTAGTAATGAATAACTTCATACGTTCCGAAGGGCATATTCCGGTGTATGCCGTCCTAGAACGCTTGGAACCAGGCAGTTCTTCAACCACGTAACGGTCATTATCAAGAACTTTCGTAACTACAAAAGGACCCTTATATTTTGGTTCCAACTTTCGACTTTGTCCGTCATTTGATCCTTTTGCTTTCCTAACCAACACGTGTTGTCCGACCTCAAACGTTTTTGAGGGAGCATGCTTTTTATCATAATACATTTTCTGATAGCGCTGCCTAACCGCCATCGTTTCTGAGGCTTCATTTCGTAACTGATTTGAATCACGTAACTGATTTGCATCAGTATGCTCGTCTATGCATACTTCCGCCGTCAAGAAAGCATCCGTAACACTTCTTGGCCGGTAACCAAAAAATAGTTCGTAGGGACTTTTTCCAGTAGTAGTGTTCATGGTGGAGTTCATTCCCCATTTAACTCTACTAATGGATTCATCCCATAGTGTTTCGTCAACCACGGAAGACATGAGAGCAGAAAGGACGGTTCGATTCATTCTTTCCACCTGTCCATTTGCCCGTGGTGTGGAGGTTGCAGATAAAACTTGCTTGATTCCTAACTCAAGACAAAAATCTTTAAACGCTTTACTTGTAAAAGCTGTGCCACGATCGCAGATTATTCTACGACATACTCCAAACATGTCGAATATGTCCTTAAGAAATTTTATAACAGGAGCGGTTTTTGTATTTGGTACTGCCTTATGAAATGAAAATTTAGTAAAACCATCAACAGCCATCAGCAAATGGGTATTCTTTTTGGTGCTTTTAACGAATGGACCTAAATGGTCTATGTGTAGAGTATCCATAGGCACAGGTATCTTCTCAATAGGATTTAATCTTCCTGGTATTTTACCTCCTGCAGTTTTATTATAAAGACATCCTAGACAGGACTTAATATAATTTTTAACATATTGGCGCATTGATGAGAACCAGTAACGTGACTTTATGGACTCCAGTGTCTTATCGACTGAAAAATGTCCGGCGTCATCATGATAATACAGCAAAATTCTTCGACGCGCTGTTTTTGGAATGACCCAACGATTACCTTGTTGAGTTTTACGATAAAGATGGTTATTTTTAAGACAAAATTATTTATGTATCTGTCTTTCTTCACCATTACTAGCATCTCTTGATAAAACATCAATCAAGTTCTTACATTTTTCATCCTGGAGTTGCGCAGAAAGTATCCAGTCACTCTCTTCAATATTTACAATTTGAATATTAAGTAAATCGTGAACATCTTTCACTGGATTTCTGCTTAAAGCATCCACGTGACTCATTTTTGTACCAACTCTGTATTCGATATTAAAGTCAAAATCTTGGATGGTAAGCCACCATCTTGCGATCCGGGGTACAAGATCTCTTTTTAACAATGTGTGTCGTAAAGAGTTACAATCTGTAACTACTTTAAAATTTACTCCTATTAGGTAAATTCGAAATTTTCTCAAGGCTTCTACCAGAGCTAAGGTTTCAAGTTCATACGAATGATATTTTTGTTCTTCGGTTGTTGTAGCTCTGCTAAAATATTGTACTGGTTTAAGAGTGCCATCATTTTGCTCTTGTAAAAGTATTCCTCCTAAGCCTACTTTGCTTGCATCACAATGTACCTCAATTCTAGCTTTACGATCGTATATTGCTAACACAGGTCTTTCAACAAGTTTCTTTTTAAGTATTTCAAATGCTTCATTATGCTCTGTTCCCCATGTAAATGTTGAATCTTTTCGGGTAAGGTTAGATATTGGTTTGGCAATGCGAGCAAGGTCTTTGATAAATTTTCTAAAATAACTTGTCAATCCTAAAAATTGCCTAACTTCGTGGACAGTTTTAGGAATAGGAAATTCAGCTACAGCCCTAATTTTTCCTGATCCTGGTTTAATTCCTTCGCTAGAAATCTCATGTCCTAGGTATTCAATTTGACATTGCAGAAAATGACATTTACTTAATCGTAGAGTCATTTTTGCTTCTCTGAGGAGTTTTAAGACATTTTCTAGTCTCGTCAAGCCTTCTTCAATTGAAATAGATGGAACTAAAATGTCATCGATATAAGCCATTGCATTTTCATGGCGTAGTGGACCTAATATTTTATTTACGGCCCTCTGGAATACCGCAGGAGCATTAACCAAACCAAATGGCATCCTCAGGTATTCATAGTGTCCGTCTGGCGTCACGAATGCGGTTTTAGGAACAGATTTTTTTTCTACTGGAATTTGATGGTAACCAGAGGCTAAATCTAATGTTGTAAAAAATGTTGCCCCTGACAAATTATCCAAAAGATCATCAATCCTAGGTAACGGATACTTATCTTTAATTGTTTTTTTGTTAATAGCCCTATAATCTATGCACATTCTTTTTAACAAGGAGAATGGGACTGGCATAGGGTGAATCTGATTCCTGTATTATCTTATTTGCCAAAAGGTCCCGCACTATATCTCGGAATGTTTCTCGATTTGTATAAGGCATCCTATAAGGTCGATAAGTGATGGGTTGGTCATCATTCAGCTTTATTTCCAGCTCAGCTACATCAGTCTTACCGACTTCGTTAAGACTTAAGGCAAAGCAGTCTCGATATTTGTTAATTAATTGAAGCAAATTAGCTCGATCTACCTCATTTAACTGTGGGTTTATTAAACCTTTCACATCGTCTAATGTAATAGGGATAAGATGAGTAGTGCTTGTTTGTAAACACATCAAGGATTCTGATGGTTCAACATTTTCGTAACATGTCCAACCTCTCGTAATAACCCTATTCTTTTCGTAACAGACAGGTTTATTCGATAGATTCATAACAGGCACGCAGCAAAAACTATTTTCTAAATTTAGAATACAAGGTAAAATTACATGACAATTGTCTGACCAATCTCTAGTCTGCAAGTTTACTAAAACATCCCTCACGCTTTCGTCTTGCTTAATAACAATATGACCCATGTAATTAGGTGGTATGACTGTTGTTTCAGCTGACACAAGCTCTACCTTTTTTGACAAAAACTCGTCCAATGTGCCTATTTTATTCAAATTTTGGTCGTAGAGTCGAATTTGATTGCCTCTAACAACCACAGTAACACTTTCATTATTGACAAAAGGTTGTCCAACTATAACCGGTACTTCCTGTACTTGGTCAGGGACTATCAACGCATCTACGTGAGCAGATGCTCGATCTACAGTTAGGTAAATTTTTGTTTTCCAGTTGGCAACGACGGACCCCCCAGCGTACCCACACAAACGGACAGATGCTGGTGTAAGTGGTAACTTGAGATTTTTCGCGTTTGTCTCTCTAATTGTTACCGCGGCGCATCCTGAGTCTACATAACCTCTAAGGGGCTCGTTATTAATAATGCAATCAATAAAATAGCAAGTGCTTACCGGTTGATTAGAAGATAAACTTAGAATAGGATGAAGCTTACCTTTAGTTTGCAAGCCTGCGTGTTTCCCTTGACCTGTTCGGCACTGATCAGCCTCATGCCCTAATAAATTGCATTTGCTGCAAACCTTTCGGCTTTTTGGACAGCTTGCTTGGTAGTGTCCCTTTTGTTTACAATTGTAGCACATAACATCTTCTCTGTGGTATGGTTTATATTTTTTTGAAATAGCATTGCGCAAGTCTGGTTTGTTATGCCTCTTCGTAATCGTTTCCGGTTTATTACTGTGCAACTGATGTGAACTCTCATCACGCAACATGGATAGGTATTGCTCAAAAAGTGTTTCGGGTATTTCGTAACGACCCTTTCTATTTGTTTTTGATGATGAGCTACTTGAAGCAGAACTACTACTGCTACTGCTACTAGAACTACTTCGGCTACGCTTATGTTTGCCTATCTTGGGACAATTGAAATGTCTGTCTATATATAGGTTTTTCCTAACAACCCAAAACAAAAACGATAACTGTCTATCTATAGGTTTTTCGTAACAACCTATTCAATAAATCTAATAAAATTTACCATTAATAATAATGGCAGTTCGATAAACAGTCATAAAAAGTACCTTGTCAGCGGTTATCCAAAACACAGGCACCTGTTGATTCACTAGAGCCACAAATTGCGTTTTAACACTAATGTTTATGATGTGTATATATAGAAAAAAACACAATAACGACAATGAAAGTTGGTTAAAGACTTTTCGTAACAGCTTTAACTTTGCTAATTAAATCACTAATTGTCTCTATCAAAAGTTTCGAGGCACTACGTAGGCAGGTAGGTATCTTTACCCCGCACCTGAATCTGTAAAAACACTAGACTCAAGGAATCGGTTTTATATTTTAAAAAAGAAATTGCGTATAATATAAAGCCGAGAAACCAAAAGTAAACAACCACTGGACCGCTTCTATCCAGATTTTCGACTGCTCTCCGATCAGCGAACTTGGACTCGTCCGCCTTGGATATTGCGACGGTCAACTGTTTTTTGGATGGCCCAAGACTTCTATAGTATAGGTAGTAGGTAGTAGGTACCCTTTTATTATTACAGTGTAGTAAGTAGTAGGTACCCTTTGATTATTACAAATGTATATTAATAATAGTGAAATTTTATTTCATTTTTTGTAGCGTGTTGCTGCTGCTTTAAAAATTAGTTTAAGGACAGTTAGTCGTATTTCCGAGTGTGTGAAAAGTGATGCAAATTTAGAATCGCCCAAGAAAAAGCGGAGTTATATTAAACGTGTAACCAACACAGCGACATTGGATACAAGTGCCATTCGAGAAGTGATCTATAATATGTATCACAAAAGTAAGATCTCATTATAATAACTTATCAGAAATTTGCATTAATTTGTTAACTAAATTATAATGTCATATTACACATGGTTTCAGAAGAACAAGTTACGATACAAACTTTATGGTCTCGATTAAGAGATAGGGCATTATTTGATGGTAGTGCCACGTCTTTAAGGCGGTTGCTTAGAGATCTTGGATTTAAGTGGCTTAAGGACAATCCGCGACGAGGGCTCATGGAACTACCAAGTATAGCTTTGAAAAGGGTGGAATTTCTAAGGCAATACAATCAAGCCAAGGTTGAGGCCTTATACCAGTTTGTCTTCCTCGATGAAACTTGGATATTTCAAAATGGGACCATAGGTCGCTCTTGGCAAAATGGAAACCAAAAAAGCGTGAAAGCTATTAAAACAGATGGTAAAAGGTATGTACTTTTACACAATTTGCACTATAAAATTTAAAACTAATATATTTTAGATACATTATATTACATGCTGGAAATGAAAATGGGTTTATTGAGGGAGGTGAAGCGATATTTTCTTCGAAAACAAAATTGAGCGATTACCATGGAGAGATGAACCAGGACAATTTTTTGAAATGGTTTCAACATCAGTTATTAGAAAAATTGGAGAGTCCATCTATGATTATACTGGATAACGCCCCTTATCACAGCATGATATTGAACAAAGTGCCCAACAATGCATGGACAAAAAAAAATATCCAAGACTGGTTGACAAATCAAAACATACCATTTTTAAACACAATGTTTAAAACAGAGCTATTGAGTATTGTTGCTCGGTGCATAATGCTTCTTGATTATATATATTTTGGTCGACAGTTTATATTTCTTTTGTTTATTCCTATTCTTAAAATAACTGCTTTTTTAGAAACAAACCACCTAAAATATACGTGATTGATGAATTGGCGGAACAACATGGGCACAAAGTTCTTCGTCTGCCTCCTTACCATTGTATAACATATTTAACCCTATTGAGTTAATTTGGGGCATAGCAAAAGGTTACTATAACAGACATATTGGTAGAGATGGTAACAGTGAAAAAGACTGTTTGAATATGTGGAACGAGGCTCTACAAACGGTTACCCCAGACATGTGGAAAAATAGTGTTCGACATACTGAGCAAGAAACTTTTAAATGGTATGAAAGAGAACGAATTTTTGATCGACCAGACATCGAACCTTTAATAATCAACTTTGAGAGTGATGAAGATTCAGATTCAGACAGCGTTGAAGAAAGAAACTCCGACTAACTTTATTGTACAGAAAAAGCTTACACCAGTAGCTTACCTAATTTTAGAATGCATTTTTCTGTATGAATTCTGTAAAATAAATACCATGCATAAAATTTGGAGGACCCCATTTGGATTTTTATTCAGTAAGTATGTAAATTTTTCAACACACCCACCTTGATGACGTGCACGCCACTTTGTTTGGCGTTGACTATAGATAAATTTTATCCAGGTTATGCTTCATTAGTCGTCACGCATCTTATGCGTCAAAATATACAGAATCAAATAATGTATCATTTGCCCACATGCATTTACGCAAGATAATTTCTGGACAGCTTCTTGTGTTAAATATAACCACAAACAACAGTAGAAGTAAATCTCTGGTAGTACTTTGTGACAAAATGGAGGAAAATGCAACTGACGACTTCAGTGACATTGTCTTGACAGTCCTATAACCTAACTTACAACGTCTACAATTGACAGCTGCCTGTATACTTGGTTGCCAGCTAGTCACGGCAACGTTTCACAGTAAGCAAGAAGTTTTTTTTCGCGAGTCTACGGTGCAGCACAGCGCAGTTCCGGGAACTGAGATACTCAAATTATCGCGAAGAACGGGAATAGGGGAAGATGGATGTGACGTCATCTAAATGTCAAAAAATCACGTTTTACGGTATACCGTCTGACGTCGGTGAGGTACTAGCGGGTTTTATGCCAAAGTCATTTAAAAAACGGACATCCCAATTGAAAATTTGTCTTCGCAGTGCCGAAAATTAAGTGAATAAATTATTAAATCATAAATAGAGGAACATGACCACCTGATTTTAAATGACGAGGGAGAAGACTATGACGTCATCGCAGATATAGGAATCGCACTTTTAATATCAAACGGTTGATTTCATTGATATATACATTGTTCAAAAGACGACCGGTCTTTTAAAATACGATTTAAAGAAGACAGCTAAGTTTATGAAAGAGCTTAAATCAAACATTTTGCGCAACATGCACCATCTAACTATTTCGCGTAAAAATGTTTAAAGTAGTAGATCTGACAGTCCTTTGGAGAAATATAAGTAGATGTACAGTGCTTTCCAAGGAGCCCATTCCTCTACTTATTTTCTGAACGGGTCAAATTAGCATATTGCAACACTTCTTAAAAAGAATCTGAATTTTTTACTATCCTGTTTTTTTAAGCCTTGTAAATAAGTAATTAAGGACTGTTTTCATTCCTAAATCACCATAAAATCTTATCAAACAATCAACACGGGCTTCGAAGTGGGTTTTCTATAATGTTGTGCATTCCATTGTATTCATACGTCACTGGTAGAAAGACACGAGTGAAAGAAGATTGAGAAATATCACAATGATAATAATGAAGCTGGATATCCCCCAGCGAAGTGTTAAATCTCTTCTACTTTTCATACTATTCATGGGCGACTTAAGAAAGAATCCGTCTCAAGACTTATGGCTGGCAATTTACTTATCACAGAGTACGTATTGCTCACACTGCACAAACTATTGAAAGGTCCATCAACCTTACCATTAGAAGCTTGTACTGTCATTAGGAATAATATGTAAAATTTTACTATTGCCAGCAATATTCGATACCAGAACCAAGAACAATATTTATTTAAAAAATTTCAATTCATCCCTATACAAACACATCTCCATGTATTGGCAGTTTAAATTAAGCTTTCACTATAGATCACATGACTAAGTGATGTGGATCAATTCAAAATAAAGCTAAACTTGTAGTATGAAGGAATATCTTGAGAAAAAAGTCTGCAGCTAACCATGTAATCGTATAGACTGGGAATACCTATCTACACTTTTACTTACATATTTTATCGTTAATGTAACATCCGAAACATATCCTGTGTTTTCATGTGTACAATCCTTATATTCCTCTGGCCAATTGAAAACAACGGTGACTTTCTTCAGTACAATGACTTTGACGTATTGTGAAAGTTATTATATTGAAGAAGGTCAGCGTTATATAAGAAACGTTTGCAATAAAGATGTTAACGCATGTGGTTTCGATTGGACAGAGAAATATGTGGGATTATTTTTTATCGTGTTAATTCAGATATGATGTTATGTAAGAATAGTGTAATTTCGGTGTCTTTTTGTGTGTGTGGAACGATATCATAATATTAACTATTTGTTTTTACTCCGTACTCTGTAAAAATTGTGTATATAATGTTTCACATCCCTGTAAAAGGTCTTACTGAAGTAAATGAAGATGAAGGTAATGGGGTCATATGATACCGCGTTTAAAGCTTATCATTAGCCTAGGTAGAGCATAACTTCTTTATCCTTAAAAGTACGAGCTAGCGAGCTGTCAAATTTGAACGTTGAGTTGAGTTGTACATTGAATCGTTTACAACTAAGCAACTCATCGTCAAAACGATAAAGCACGATATATCAATCTACTTCTGGAAGTCGGAATGGGCTTGTACAGGTATGCATTTCGGGTAATAAATAGCTGGTCGCTAACTTACATCCAGGAAAACTGGCAGGCGACAATGAAAAGCGTACAGGAATATGCATTATATTTCTTCCTTTTATCGATTTTTGTTCCCATTTAGAAGCTTGTCAGTCGACAAGAGCGTTAGGCATTCCTAGCAAGTGTCGGCAGAAATGAAACGGCTAACATTATTAACATACTATTTCGTCCATTCAGGTCAGTTCCATTAATAAAATGTAATACACCTACCTCTTTTGATAACTCGAATGACATTCATAGTAGCAGAATACCTTGAGGATGCTTACCTGCAAAGAAAAAGAATATACATATTTTTATGTATCATGACATCAACCAATTCAGTTAAAGCTTCACTTGTAGAATAAAGATTATAAAATTCCAAACATTATTCGTTCCAACTGGTGGTGATTCAAGAGAATTTACATATGCGAAAGAAAATTCATGGTGTTGTTGGTGCATTTTTATAGTGCCACTCGTAGCTGTCTCAATCTTGTTTGTTTTATGCATAACTCCGATTATAATCAATTTAAACTCCCTGTAAATTACCAAAACGTGAAAGAAGAGGAAAAAAGGAATAAAAGGAAAATATCTCAGGCTTACTAAAGATGAACAGTACAGTCCCAGTATGCACATCTACATGCAAAACTCGATGAAAATTCTGCCGCTTTATATTTGCTGGACTGTAATAAGCGAGATTTGTTCAACGATTATTCTTCATACGATTATCTGGACCCCCTAAAGACTGCAAGTACATCATTTATATTTCGTAGATGTGTTGATTCTAGCTAATGCAGAAAAACAACTCCAGACTGGCTTAACTAAAGCAGAAAGCTAACTTACAATCAGTGAAGTCTTCAGAAGTATCTTCCATCTTAAATTAGATCGGCGTTCGATGAAAATGTATCCAGTGGGCTGCGTGCGTTCATTATAATCGCTTGAAAAGGCATAGAGCCGCGGCACATTGTCCTTTTCTCACTTGCTCATTGTTTTTTCATATCGGCCATTAATCAAATGGATCAATACATTGATAACAAAGCTATGTTAATGGTGTCAGCACAGCGACACTATACCACACCCGGCATCCACACTGGTTTGCAAATGCCAGACTGTAGATTGGAGCACAATTCCTATGCGACAATCCAATCAACCACTATGCAAAGGTTCCAATTGTAGCTAAACAATGTACAATGGGTAGCTAGGATCGAGATGATCGAGAAGGTGATATGGGCCATATGTCAACTTATAGAGCGCCTCAAAAATAAAATACTACCATTATGCGGAGCTAATCAAGACTCACACGTATATTAAGTTTAGGTAATCCTTGGCTGAACGACATTGTCCATTATACAATCATAACAACAGCACATAATATAGGATTACATCTGGCACAAAAATATTTTTTGAATCATGTCGTGTGAAACAAACACTACACAAGTTTGATAAACATGTTGCAAAATAAGCGCGGGGACAAAACCAATTGAACAGTTTATATCAGTAAGTTATTTGAATGTTTATATTTATATTATTTATTAAGTGATTATGACGCGCAACTTGCGCAGCAATCTGTTGCAAAGAAAATATGCTGGGGGTATGTTGCGCAAAGCGTGCTTACAGTTTGCAGCCTGTTGCTGCACATGTGCCCGGCCCGGTTCATTCCCATGCAAACAAGCTGCAATTTGTTGTGTTTTTTAAAACTTTTATGGAGGATGAAAAATTGATTAAACCTCGCCAGCAGCACGAGCTGTATGAGAAAAAAAAAACGAAAGAATAGAACTGTTAACCGTCAACGTCAATACCATTTGGATCCTCGTATGATCCTAGTACGAATATGTGGTATACTGCGTAGAAACCTTTAATAACCGATACAAGAACGGTGTGACCATACTATCTGTTTGAACTACTGATCAGTTCAATTTTGAAATTTGCCTACCTACGTATGAATATTCAAGTGCAGTCTGCGAAAACCAAAAGTTTGCCCAGTTTGGCCTAAAAAACAAGGTTCAAATAGCTCCAATCTCAAGATAATCTTCAACGTCTTGTATTGCAAGGTTTTAACTTAGGACCGTATCGTCAGCCGTTCCTACAATATTGTAGGGCGCGTTTATGGTCTCCTTGATTTCGATAATATTACGTCTTCTTCGTTAACGTACATGTATGTCCTGCTTTAGATTTCCGGCATACTGACAGTCCTAGCTTGAGTTTATGTTGTTGTTTTGACGTTCAAGAAATTTTAGCCACATGAATGGAAAGCAGAACCACGCCCTGTAAGAAGGGTTTTGACAGCATTGTCACATTTGCGAGCTATACATTTTCTGAGATTTGTTGGCGAGAAAAAGTTGTTAAAAGATGGAAGTTGACCCAAGAGGATCAACAGACGACGCAGTTCCACATACTATGAGGAAAGAGCTGAGCGGTGGCGGGAACCAAGCAGAAGCAGAAAACATGAGCTCACTGACGCAGATGTCGTCGGAGCAGAAAACGATCGAAAAACTGATGCTGATTATAGACGACAAGGCGAGGCAGATTCGAGACCTAATGGAGACCATCAAGGACCAGACAGCCAAAATTGACAGCCTGACCGCCCAGGTAACAATATTCCTAAATTCAAAAGAATCCCCTAAAGAACGGACAAACACCCTAAAAAGACCACTGAGAAACGTTACTGATGATCATCTCACATCCACAGACGAAGACGTACAGACCGAAGGATTTGTAAAAGCAAAATCAAGAAGGAGGAAAGGCGACAAGGCTGATCGATCAACCCAAGACTTTCCTCCTCTTCCGAATACAGGATCAATTCCATTTCACAAATCCCGCAATTGATCAAATCGAAACAATTAATGCTTCTAGTACCAAGCCAGGGACCACGTTATCGACCTATTATTTGCCGCATTCTCATTGGCTAAGGGATAACGGATCGTTAAATGTAAATTTATAAGAGAAATCAAAATACATGCAAGTTGTCCTGTTTTCTCTGTACAAAAGCATCATGTTGGAATGAAAAATTGGCTTGTTTATAATACAGTCGAATTTTCACGATTTTACTCAATATTTTAATAGAAATCACTGATATTCACGGACCTTTGACAGCTTCCGTCAAATTGCATTTCGATAAGGTATTTTCCCATTGACCCAGGTGAACGTCAAATATTAATGATGGTGAAATTGGCGCTTAGTGAAGCATAAAAGCTCTACTACCGAGATCTGATTATCAGATCTAATAATAAATCAGAAACCGTTTGGAAAATCATCAAGAAATATAGAACGTAAGCTCGAGTCAAGTGTGAATAATAATCTGATCACCGACTCTAATGAAATTGCTGACAAATTCAACAATCACTTCGCAGATGTTTTAAAAAAGCCTGAGACGAAATAATATGCCCAAGCTTGTAGGATTGTACTGGAGGTGATGCTCACATCACCTTTATTGAAGAGAAGTTATAGACAGATATTAGAGCCATTAACTTATTTGGTCAATCTATCATTAGAAATCGGGAAACTTCCCGAAAAACTAAATATATCTACAATTCTTCCTATACCCAAATCAGGAAATTCAGAAATCATAAACAACTACAGACCAATAACCCTCTTAAGCCCATTTGCAGAAATTATAGCAAAACGTGCTGCCATTTGCCTGACCGATTTCTCTATTAAACATAACTTTTTCAACACTTACCAATTTGGTTTCCTCAAAGGAATGTCCACAGCTAAAGCCATTTCGGCGTTTCTAAAGATGATCAATACAGCTATGGACCAAAATAAGAAAACGGAGTAATATTGGTAGACCCGAGCAAAGCTTTTGATATGGTAGATCACAAGCGTCTTCCACACAAACTGGAGCTAAACGGAGTAAGGAGACTTCAACTTATGTGGTTTGAGAGCACCCTGAGCGATAGACCTCAGTATGTACAGGTTTTTATTATTCTAAAGAGAATTATAAGATTAATGGCAGGGGTTAACAAATTTAGTAGTTGAAGAGAGATTTTTGAAGAAATAGGAATTTTAACCATAACATGTACTTATATTTATGAGCTATTGATACATGTCAAATCAAATTTGACCAAGAATAATCACAAACATAATACTATAATATATAATATATAATAAAGCTCTAAAATAATTCACCTTTGTAGATTAAACAATTAAACATCCATATACAAGCAAAAAATTTAAAAAATGATTTTTAAAAAGGCGTATTCCTCCGTTAATGAATTTCTCTGTGACACCAATAACTTTTAGATAATGTTTGTTATGTATTTGGTTTTATTTTGTTATACGTACCTATTCAGTGTGTTGACGTGTGTGTTATTATTTATTGTTGGTCCCTTTAATTTATGTCATGTTAGTATTTACATATACTTGTATAAAATGTTTATTTTGTAAAGTAATCAGAATTTGACCTCTATGTGATTGCATATAACTTTTCTATGTTTTCGCATTTGACGCAATCTGTCATCAAAAGATGATAACTTGAATAAAGATTATTATTATTATTTTATGTATATAAGGGACAGTTGCGCACAGACAATACGTAGTGTCGAAAGCGGCTGTAAAGTAGATTGATTCATGGATCCTAATTTGATTCACTGGAGTTGCTCTGGTCTGTCAGAAATTCATTGTTGGAAATAGCCGATGTATGTCTAACTCGAAATTTGAGAATTCTCAAGCTTCAGCATCTTTGCTCCTAAAACTGTTTATAACTGTCACATACACTGATTGAAGAAAAAAATTGTTTTTCTTACGCTAGAAAGTTAATAGGCTATGAAGTAAAAAAAACTAGCTTCCACGGTTACAATACTGTCCCTGTATAAGCGCGGAAAGCTAAAAGGTGGAAACATTGAAGTATTACAATAAAATTTAAAATGTAAATTACATTAACAATGCAATGGTAAACGTGCATGCTGAAACATGTGAAAAAGTTGATTTTGTACTGAACTGCCATATCGATTTGATTGTATCAACTCAAAGCAATGCTTATTCACAGCCCACACAATCACTTCCGTTCCTCTATGTATAGTGCTATTGTTGCATCTAGTTGATTAAAAACAAAAAAAGGGAACTGGGTCGAGTAAACAGCAACATGATGTGTTGTTTTGAAAATGAAGGTTTTTATAAAAACATAGCAGGTTTTTGGCTAAATCCGATTAGAGAGATTTAGCGTGTTAACAAACTGAATGGTTAAGCTGGAAAGTGAACAAATTTGGTTCCATTAAGGGAATTTCAAACGTATGTACTAGGCAGAAACTGGTGGTTGCTTGCGATATAATAGTACGTTACGTGCCACGGGATATAACATAGTTAACCAATAATGTTTTTTAAATGAGGTATGTTCAGGGTGTTTCCTAACAAGTGTCCAATACTTCAAAGGACAATTCGGTATATGTTTGTAGGACAAAAATTGCAAACTAAAAAAAACGTGGTCAATTAAAAATTGATTCTGGAAAATTTTCATTAGCCGTATTGAATTTTTCAATTATTCCAGGTAGCAAAATTATTCGGCTTACTTAAACCGAATGTGATTGAGTCAAACTTTCTGGAACCAGTTCAATTGGAAGTAATATACTATTAAACTAATTTTCTTGAAAACAGCAAACCATGTAGATGTTTTATTAGACTGTTTGATTAATTAAACATTCCAATAAAAACAAATAAACTGTTTATTTAAATCGAGTACTCGGCAGGACTCGGCTCTTTATTCATGAATGTGCGGGTGTATGCGACAGGCGCAGTGCCGGCGATGCTCTGCGAACTTCTCAGTTTTATTTGTGATTTTCCCGAGGAGCTTCATATTCTAACGTTGCTGTTGTTGATGTATTAGCGGTGAAGTTCTTTTGATTAAGCGAAATACTCGAGAATAAGACGCATAGTGAC